TATTGGGGGTTTCTTGTGGGGTTCTCGAGGCCTCCAGGGAACCTCTCCGCGCCTGGAGTTCGACATGTCCGTTCGGGTCCCTCGTTTGGCCCCGCCCTTGGAGCCGTCTTGCGAGCCCCTTCGGCCATCCTGAAGGCCTCTGGAGCTGCCTTGGGGCCCTCCGGGGCCGTTGTGGGCGCTCTTGGAAGCCTCTTGGGCCGTGTTGGGGCGATCCTGGAACCCTTTAGGGCCGTCTTCGAGCGCGCGGTAAGCCCCCAAGGCGAAAACGCCAAAAACCTTTAACAATTGCAGGAACATCGTTAATTTCTGTCTCTGTGGGCCCTCTTGGCCGGTCTCTTGAGGCCTCTTGGGGGTCTCTTGGGGCCTCTCGGGGGCATCTTGGGGGTTTCTTGGGGGCTGTTGGGGCCTCCAGGGGACCTCTCTCAGAGCTCGACGTGTCCGCTCGGGTCCCTCGACTGGGCCCGCCCTTGGAGCCGTCTTTGGGAGCCTCTTCGGTCATCTTGGAAGCCTCTGGGGCTGTCTAGGGGCCCTCTTGGGGCCGTTGTGGGCGCTCCAGGAGGCCTCTTAGGGCCGTGTTGGGGCGATCCTGGAAGCCTCTTGGAGCCGTCTTTGGACGCAGGTGAGCAAAACTTGCAGGGAAATCGCTAATGTCTCTTTCTGTGGAGCCTCTTGGGAGGTCTCTTGGGGCCTCGTGGGGGTGTCTTGGGGCCTCTCGGGGGCCTCTTGGGGGCCTCTTGGGGGCCTCTTGGGGCCTCGTCGGGCTTCCAGGGGACCTCTCTGCGCCTAAAGCTCGACATGTCCGCTGCCCAGGGTGGGGGCCGTCTTGGGAGCCTGTTCAGCCATCTTGGAAGGCCTCTGGAGATGTCTTGGGGCCCTCTGGGACCGTTTCGGGCGCTCGTGGAGGCCTCTTGGGCTGTTTTGGGGCGATCCTGGAAGCCTCTTGGAGCGCTGATAAGCCTCCAAGGCGAGAACGCCAAAAACCTTCAAACATTAAAGCACAATAGCTAATTTCTGCCTCTGTGGGCCCTCCTTGGGAGGTCTTTTGGAGGCCTCTGGGGGCGTCTTGCAGGCGCTTTGGGCTGTCTGGAGGCCATCTCTGGCGTTTTGGATCGCTATTGGGCCGTCTCGAGCCATGTTGAGCTCTCTTGGAGGCCACTTTCAGCGCTCCTGGAACGCTATTGGGAGCCTGCTGGGACCTGGCCGGGACCTGCCTGGGACCTTGCCGAGATTTGCTGGGACCTTGCCGACACTTACCGGGACCTTGCCAGGGTACTTTTCGTCCGGGGACCCCCAGGGGCGGCCCCGCGTGCGCGATTTAGAATATTGTCAACCTGTCATCGGAGATCGTAGCACGCCCTTGGCCCGCTGGGCCAGCGAATTTCGGCACAGCACCGCCCCCTTCCCATCCCGCGCGCCACTTCCGCATCACCCCGCCAACCCCGCCCCCTCCGCCTCGTCCTTTTTATTTCGGCTCAGCACCGCACGCCCACCCGCCAACCAGCGCGCCCTCTCCGCCCGACCCCCTCACTTCTGCACGGCACAGGGGGGGCCCCCATCTCGAGTGCCCTTCTGCATCGCCCCACTCGCCAGCCAGCGCACCCCCCCTCCGCCCCGACCCCTTCACTTCGGCACGGTATCGCCCCCCTCCCATCCCGCGCGCCCCTTCGCATCCCCCCACCCACCAGCCAGCGCGCCCCCTCCGCCCCGAACCCTTTATTTCGGCACGGCACTGCCCTACCCCCAGCCCGCACGCCCCTTCCGCATCCCCCCACCCACCAGCCAGCGCGCCCCTTCCGGCCCGACCCCTTTATGTCGGCACGGCACAGAGACCACCCACCCCGCGTGCCCCCTCCTCATCCCCCCACCCGCCAGCCAGCGCGCCCCCTCCTCTCCGACACTTTTTATTTTCGGCACGGCACTGCCCCCCCACACGTCCAGCACGCCCCCTCTGCATCACCCCCACCAGCCAGCGCGCCCCCTCCGCCCCGACCTTTCGGCACGGCACCGCCCCCCGCATCCCGCGCGCCCCTTTTGCATCCCCCCGCTCGCCAGCCAGAGCGCCCCGTCCGCCCAGAGTTTCTTTAATTTCGGCACGGCGCTGCCTCCCTGAGCGCCACCTCCATCACCCTATCCACCAGCCAGCGCGCCCCTTTCGCCCTGACCGTGCTCTTTCGGCACGGCACCTCCCCTTTTGCCCCGACCCGTTCATTGGCACATCGCCCCCCAGCATCCCGCACACCCTTCCGCATCATTCCACCCACCAGCCAGCGCGCCCCTTCCGCTCCGAGCCCTTTTATTTTGGCACGGCACCGCCCCCCGTCGCATCTCGAGCGCCCCCTCCTCATCCCCCCACCTGCAAGCCAGAGCGCCACCTCCGCCCCGACCCCTTTTTATGTCGGCACGGCACCGCCCCCGCATCCCGCGCGCCCCCTCTGCATCACACCACCCACCAGTACGCCCCCTCCGCCCCGACCCTTTTTATTTCGGCACAGCACCGCCCCGCCCCGACCCTTTATTATAGGCTAGGCCCTCCGCATCCTCCCGCCTACCAGCCAGCGACCCCCCTCTGGCCAGCGCCCCCACCGCATCCCCCAGCCCACCAGCCAGCGCGCCCCCTCCGCCTCGATTCCTTTATTTGTGCGCGGCACCGCCCCCTCCGCCCCAACACTTTCATTTCTGCACGGCACCAACCCCCCCCCCGCATCTCGCGCGCCCCCTCCGCGTCATTCCACCCACCAGCCAGCGCGCCCCCTCCTTCCCGACCCCTTTGTTTCGGCACGGCACCGCCCCCCTTCCCATCCCGCGCGCCCCCTCCGCATCCACCCACCCACCAACCAGAGCGCCCCTTCCGACTCGGCCCCTTCACTCCGGCATGGCACCGCCCCACCCCATCCCGCGTGTTTCTTCCGCGCCCCCCACCCACCAGCCAGCGCACCCTCTTCGCCCCGACGCCTGCCTTTTCTTCCGGCACGGCCCCGCCCCGCCCCAGCCCCTTACTATAGGCTATCCCCTCCTCCTTCTCATCTTCCTCCTCCTCCACCTCCTATGCCTCCCTCTCCCTTATGTGCAAGAGCCATGGCACGCGTGCCACTTGTTTACGCGACCTCCTCTACGCCAAGGCCCCGGATGTGCGGATGTGTCATCCATGTTGATTGGTACTGAACGCTCCCTCGTGCCGTCTTCGTTCCCAGTTTTCTGTAGTTTCGGCGAAGTTTCTCATAGCTACCACACTTGCCTACTGCGGTGCTGGCGAGCAGCTGTGCTTCTCTGGCAGTGGGTTGGGCTCGGTGACAACGTTTGGCCCTGCCTTCGTTAAGGGCACAAACGGACATTCGACGGGAGGGTTTAGTTCCTCCCCGCTCGTGGCAGATCATCAGCGGCGGGGGAGGAGGAGGAGGAGTACAGATGACGACGGCGAAGAGTGGAAGTAAGTGATAAGTGAGAGACACGAGGCAGAGATCGAGGAGGATGAGGCAGCAGCGAGCGAGGAGGAGGGCGAGGAAGGATGGCGGCGTGGATGCGCTGACGCCGCCAGGGCAGGCATCTGGGCTTCCAGGCTACCATGGACCCGCGGGCGGGAGGCGGGAGTCGCTGGGTCCTTGCAACTCGACCCCCTTTTGCGGTCCAGCCCGGACGCCTCCGATGTCCGCGCGCAGTGCCGAGCGCTTCGCGTGCGACGCCACAGGCTTCTACGCCAGCTTGCCGGACGTGCTTCGCTTCAACGCCCTGAGCGCTGGCATGTGCCGCCAACCCACCCTGGAGAAGGAACACGCATAACGTGTACGACTTCAGAGCTCCGCGCGGATCTCTCTTGGATCGGCGCTCGGCCCCCCTGTCTCAGGAGAGAAAGAAACACACAGACACAATTCATCGTCGGCTCCCAGGAAAGTATGGGAAAATATAGGAAGTGGGGGGACGACAAAAACCCAGAAAATATAGGGAAAATATGGGGAATCCTGTTATTTGTGTGTATTTGTCCCAGGGCCCCTTCACTGTCGGCGCCTCTGGCGCCGATCCAAGAAATCTGCGCGGACTTCGAACATGTATGGTTCATGCTGTTTGCTTATCTACCACCCTCCCTGTGCTCCTGACGTTTCAGTTCTCCCGTCCATCCGTCTCTGTCCGTCCCCGGTCTGCAGTCAGAGCTTCAATCGTCGGCCGCTGGGGCGTGGGCACGTTGCCTCAATAATTTGTTTTGGGGGAGAAGTCTGCCCTAAGGAGGAGGTGTTGCCCAGAGAGGAGCTGTACATAATCACTGCTTGTTGTTTGAAGGAGGTGGTGCTCCTCGGGGGTGACGTTTGACGGCAGCCGCCCTCGCATTTCACCAATGACTTTACGATTTGGCACCGCTGCGAATTTTCCTGGGCAGTCACCGCACGCTGTCCGTGCATTCTTGCACCGACACAAACACACGTTACATGTCATTTGCAACGGCCCCATCTCCAACGGTCAATGATGGCCCGAATCCAGCTCAGATCATGATCAACGCGGAGTCATCAAGGGTGTGTCAAGGGTGTGTAAATCAAATCTGAGGTGTCACTTAGGGGGCTGAAGGAGGTGGGGCTGTGTGCTCCTGGGCTTCAAGCCCAGACCTGGGAATCGCATGGGATAGTTGCCCTGCACGAGGTGGGCCATGGCTGAGATGGTGTGGGCGACGCTGAGCTGAGGCCCGAGGGAGTCAGCACGCAAGGCCAGACTGAGAATCGTATAGGAAACCTGCCCCTCGCGAGGCAGGTCACGCCTGATGTGGCGCGGGCGACTCTGAGCTGAGGCCCGAGGGAGTCAGCACGCAAGCTCCAAACAGCCGACCCGCACGGCAAGGCTGGGCAACCTTCCCAAGGCTACCTTTGCATCCTTACCTCCACGGTCCATCCTTGGCCGTGTTCGTTGGCCGCGCCCCGCTCGAAGAGCTTCGAAATGGGCGTCCAAGGCCCTTACATCCTTACCGCGCATCCTCATGACACGGGCCGACTGTGCCCGCTTCCCAGTTCCCATCAACCCGTGACCTTTGGGCTCGAGCCAGTCGCCCGTAAGATTGGCAGCGATGGCGCGCGCAGGCCACGCGTCCTGGCGCCTGGTCAGGTCTCTGACGGCCGCGCCAGCGGTGCGGCGCGCTGCGGGCTCGTCGGGCCTGCCTGCGGGGATCTGCACGCTGCTTCTGCCTGCTCGTCGCGCGGCTGTGCTGTGCGTCGGGCGCCCAGGCGCGGGCAGCCGATGCATCGGCGCTACGGCGTGCAGCCGTGGGATCTCGGAGGAGGAAATGGATTCGAGGGGGAGCACAGACTCGAGGAGGAGCAGCGGTTTTCGAGAGATTTCGTCGGTCGTCGGCGGTTTTCCAGCCTCGGGGAGCCTTCAGCGGCTGCGCCGCGACGAGATCGTTCCGGGGGTGCCCAGATTGTCCCCGAGCGGCCATTGGAGAACCGAGTTATGGTTCGAAAACCGAAGAGGAATGGTACCGCTTCTTTTTTGTTGCTGCTACCCTCGCCTCGCTTTCGCCTTCTTGGGCCTCCAGAGAGGCCCTCGTCGCGCCTCCAGAGAGGCCCTCGTCGCCACGGCTGGGCTCGCCTCGAAGTTCTGGTTTCAGAGCACCCCGGGAGAACTCTGGGGAGTAGCGGTGCTCGCACACCTGAAGTGTCCGTCGTGGCTCACGCGAGAGGAAGTTTGGGCGCTCAGGGGGCGGGTTGGAGATCCCCCCTTTCGATGTCGATTGTCTTCAACATGGCGCTAAGAGGACTGCAAAGTTCATCGGAAGTGCACGTTCTGGTTCCCCTAGGATTGAGGACGACGAGCTGAGGCAGCGGCTCCACGACTTCAACGAGCAGTTCGCCGAAGCGCGGCTCTGCCTGTCCGATGCCTCGGAGTCAAAGGACACAACGTATTTCGCGGACGACATCGAGGAAGCCAAGGAGGCTGTCGACAAGACGGTTGAGCTGTACGAGTCATTGTTGTCTGCCCTGGGCGAGGAGAAGAGGGCCGAAGTGGAGTCGGCGAATAGCCTGAAGGTCCGCAGCTTCATGGAGGAGGAGGAGGAGGAGGCGCCACGATGCCGAGAACAGGGAGGGAAGAGGATGAGCAGCACCAGGAGCAGGAGGAGGTGAGTAAGAGGCGGAGAACTGGAGGATGCAGGAGGAGGTGCAAGGGGGAGGAGGAGGAGGAGGAGGTGGAGGAGGAGGAGGAGGCGGAGGAGGAGGAGGAGGAGGCACAAGGCGAAACTCAAAGACATAGCAGGACGAAGAGGAGGAGGACGAGGATGCGTGACGTGAAGCATGTGAGGAGGGAGGGTGCACTACACAGGAGGAGAAGGAGCTACAGGGGGATGCACGAGGAGGAAGGAGGCAGGAGCGGAGCAGGAGGTCCGAGTCGACGCCCTGGCGCCGGTCGGGCCTGCCCAGGCGCTGGTCGAGGCCCGCGAGCGTCCCTGCAGCGGCCCGGGTCCCGACCGGCGGGCCACCCTGGGCAGGCCCTGGCCGGCATGGGGTTTCGTCCTCCGCTTTCGCTCCCCCTGTCTTCAGAAGCGAAAGGAGGACGTACCCGAGAGAGGTCTTTAGTTTTGACCCCCTCTGTTATCTCGGCGGTAAATGGGACTGGTCGTAGCTGTCGGCGTCGTTGTTGCGCAGAGGGCGCCGCAGGAAAAATGGTTACTTTCCCCTATCGGTGGGGCGCCAGTCCGTTAGTAAGGCCGCCGGCTAATTCATTCGCTGCCCCATGTGTGGGGGGGGGGGGCAATTCAGGAGGGGACAATACACATAGGCATACTTAATTCTGGATTATCAAGGGGAGATGGGAATGCATAATATATATATATATATATTCTCATACGCACCTCTCCGAGGGAGTAGAGCTCAGAGGCGATTAGTGCGTCCGTCGTTCGCGATTTTTCTGGCCGTTTCGCTCGGGACATCCTCGAAATTATGAAAATCGGTGGCACCCCTCACGCAGATCGTGACGTCAGGGTCCAACAACACATAGGATTTCCAACATTTTATCATACAACTTTCAAAAACACATGGTAATTTCAATGATTTTGACTCCGATTCTCAGAGAATGGCGGTTTCGCCTGAGACATCCTCCCAAAATCGAGCCCCAGACCCCTCCTCGGAGCCTCCTGGGGGCCTCCTGGAACCTCCTGGGGCCTCCTGGGGCTTTCTGGACCTTCTGGTACCCCAGACCCCGCCTCGGAGCCTCCTGGAGTTCTCCTGGGCCTGCTGAGGCCGCCTGGGGCCTCCTGGGGCCTCCTGGGGCCTCCTGGGGCTTCAGAACTACATGCACACACAGAGACACAAATCACGCCCAACACATCACACGCTAGACAAACATAACATACACACACAACACCGACAACACGCAAAAAGCACGCACCACACAAAGCACACATCACACACACACACAACACTCACAATCCTGGGGCCTCCTGGAGCCTCTTCTGGTATCCAAGTCGGGCCTCCTGAGGCTTCCTGGGGGGCCCTGGTACACACATCGCAAGGTGTGGCAACCCCACTTGCGCTCGAGTGCGACTTCGCTGTTGCATGTCACTCCTGCTTCAAACGCCCCTTCAGCTTGTTGTATGAGCCTGGGCACACACGTGCCACTTGTGTATATATATATATATATATGTATATACCGGGCTACAGGGCCGGGGGTTCCCTGGCCAGGACCGCAACCCCCCATGGGGGGATCGGGCCTCCGGGAGCGCCCTTGTCCGGCCCAAGATCCCCAAGAGCGCTCCGCGACAGGCCCAGCAGGCTCCACGAGGCCCATGAGGGCGCCAAGAGGGCCCCAAGATGCCCAAGATAAGCCCAAGACGGCCAAAGAGGCTCCCAAGACGCTTCAAGAGGCCTCCAAGAGGCCCCCCCAGAGGGCCCCAAGAGGCCAAAATTGTTAATCTAAAGGCTGCCGCTTCTGCCGCCGACCCCAAAGAAGGCTCTGCAGGTGTTTTGTTGGGACATCCCGGGTTTCGGGTTTGTTTCAGGTTTTGGGGAAGTCAGAGATTGTCCATTTCAGTCCTCGCGCGATCACTGTCCCGCTGTTGCCGCGAGTGTCGCGGCGCTCCCGCAGGGTTGTGAACCTTCTGGTGCTTTGCCGTCCGAAACAAGCAGATGGGCTAGTGGGTGGGAGTCGCAGGAGTAAGCGTCACGACAAGGAGAGCGGAGACCTGTATGGTTTTTTTGCCAGTCGCGGAGGGAATGCCTGTGGCCCTCACAGATCATATCGACCGCAGCGAGGACAAGTACCTACTCCGCGGACGCGTGGGGACCGTGCACTCATGGGTGTGTGATGGCGACGAAGGAGCAGGTCGCGTCTCCCGGGGGGGAGAGACCATATTGCAGAAGACGCCGAAAGTGATATTTGTCCTCTTCGATGAGGGTCGCGATGACGCAGGGAACGCGATTCCGTGCAAGTGGACGATACAGGGGCTGAAGACGCCGGGCCTGCACCCAGTGACCCCGCAGAAAAAAGATTGGTTCGTCGACGAGGGCAGGCCGTACCCGCGTCAGAAAGTGAAGCGGCGGCAGTTCCCCTTGGCCCCAGCGTTGGGAGTCACCGCCCATTCAGCACAGGGCCAGACTTTTAAGCAGGGTGTCATCGTGGACCTCAGGATTGGCGGGGGCACGTCGCCGTTGTCGAGTTATGTGGCTCTGACGCGCGTGCGTCGCCGCGAAGACATGTTGATATTTCGGCCTTTCGACCGTGCGCCGTACACTCAGAAGGAGCGGAAGGGGCCCGGATTACTGTTACAGGTGTTGCGGGGAGACCCGATGGACTGGGAGGCAATCGAGAAGGAGTTCATGCCTGCAGGGACGTGCGCATTGTGCTCGTCGGTGAAGTACAAGAACCAGTACGCGCTCGGGCAGTGGAGCCGGGGCGACGGTCGCCGCGCGTGCAAGGTGTGCTTGGAAGGCAAGAAGAGCATTGGCACGCCGTGGCAGCGCACGGAATGTTTTCTGCGGAAGGGCCAGGATGCTTTCCATGCATCCCAGCACCGCAGCTCGAAGCTCACGTCACGGCGTTGCGTGGACTGTCCCGAGAGGCGAAAGTGTTACGTATGCGAGGGGCGGAAGTACGAGGATGCGTTCGTAGACTTCCAATGGGAGAAGGCAGGGGACGCCCGGTGCAAAGGGGGTATGTGCCTTGAGTGCGAGGAGCTGAAGAAGCACCTGCAGCGTTCGCGCTGCGGCGAGCAGAAGTTACTAGATCAATTTGCGAAAGCGGAAACTATTATCAACGAGGAACCCACATGCAAGGCTTGTAAGAGATTGCAGAGAGAGGAGGAGAAGGCCCGTGCCGAAGAGGCAAAAGAGCGCGTGCGTTCCAAATGCGGAATCCCCCAAAGATGAACCGAGTTTTCAGAGTACATGTTGAAGAACGCGCCGACAGCGTCGATGCGAGTGCTGCGCTGGCCAAGAGCGCAAAAGGAAGGAAGTCGCTGAGCGGAGCCACGCGTCGGTGACGAAAGTGCGTAAGACTGGATAGCTGTTGCCACAGCCGACAAGAGGGGCGACGGAAACGCGTGCCAGTCGTGAGGCATGTTGCGGGGAGACTAGGAGAAGCATGCTGGCAAGGATGCAAAATAGTAGTATGCTGATCATGTGGAGTTCCAAAAGGAGAGGCCTCATAGTGGTGAGGATGTGGGTCATGTTTGGGCGACAAATCCTGGCCTGGGGGGTCGGGCAGGTGGGGGCGAGGTGGCGGCCAGGCGGGGGGGGGTATGGGGTCGATTGGGGTTGGAAGGGCAAATGCGTCATGATGGTTCGTGGCGGTCCCGACCAGCGGAGACGAGAGGCCAGCAGGGCCAGAGGGCCTGGGAGGTGGCGAGAGATTTGTGGGTCGGGGGTCTCGAGGAACAGAGCCCAGAAGGCTGGGGGTGTCGGGGCCAGTGGGTGCGAGGTGGCGGCCAAGTGGGGGGGAGTATGGGTCGATTTGTGGGTCGATTTTTGGGTGAGAAATCTGGGGTCGGTGTCCCAAGAAACAGAGGCCCAGAAGGCCGGGGGCGTCGGGGCCTGGTGAGGGCGAGGTTGGCGCCAGAGGTGAGGGGCATGGGTTGATGTTGGGCGAGAAATCGTAGGGTCGGGGTCCCCAAGAACAAAGCCCAGAGGCCTGGGGGCGTCGGGGCCGGGTGGGGGCGAGGTGGCGGCCACGTGGGGGGTGTGGGCCGATTTCGGGCGAGAAATCGCGGGGTCGGGGGTCCGAAGAACAGAGCCCAGAGGCCTGGGGGTGTTGGGGCCAGGCGGGTGCGAGGTGGTGGCCAGGTGGGGGGTATGGGCCGATTTTGAAAGAGAACGTGGGGTCCCGGGTCCCAAGAACAGAGCCCAGAGGCCTGGGGGTGTCGGGGCCAGGTGGGGGCGAGGCGGCGGCCAGGTGGGGAGTGCGGGTCGAATTTGGGCGAGAAATCGCGGG